TATATATTTGGTACAGCCTTGTAGTGTACATAGTGGGTGATGCACTCAACATGGCCAAATTACAGAACACCCTACACTCTACTGATTCTCTACGTAGGAGCATTTGTTTTTTTGAGCAATCAGTGTTTTCTGTGCTGCACAGTCATACAGTCCCTACACTAGGCTTTCCTTCCATGCTGATACATGTATTTGGTGGATCTGATCACAGTAATTATTTATTGCTTGATAAGTGAATAACAAACACCAATCCCCACAGCTGCAGCAGCAACACCATATTTTAGCCACGAGTCCCAAGAGTTTCTGTTGCTACTAGATCCACTGGCTCGTCTCCACTGCATAGCATCTTTCCCATCTCTCTCTTCCCATTCCCTGTACTTTTCTAGAAGGCTTTGTGTATCCAGTATATCATTTTCATCTTCTGCGTCAAAAGCAGCCTAACAAAACATCCGAGACAAAAAAAAATCATGAAAACTTGGAACCGTCTGTTACTAGGTTTATTTCACAATAAAATTGTATTTCTAAATGGAACAAGATTTATCTGACACCCAGTATATTCAAGGTCACACCACAGCATGTTATCAGGTTTTTGTTACTTTGTATATCACATCAATTTAACAAAAAAACTATTAATATAGACTAACATATATTTAGTTGGAACCAAACAATTCTATACACCTTAATGTTATAAGAAGAGTAAAAAGTTCATTGGCATAATTAATAATATATTATTCCATGAGCGTGCATTGGATATGAGAGGGCGCGTTGCATTATTTCCTTACTAATTGTATCTACAACAAAATTCTCAACCATGATTAGTTCTCTGCATGCCTATTTGCCACGTAACCGGCGCATGATCATGTGGGTGTCCAATAATTATTACAGGTATCCAATTTGAACTTTTTGTAATTGGATACCTGTAAATGGATACCCATGTGATTTGCATGTCAATTACGCGTGCTTTAATGGCTTCCTTCGCAATGTCTCCTACAGTTTTCAAAACTGTGAAAAGCGCTGTTGACGTTTTTACTCAAAAGAAGTTCTCAAAAGACATTTTTTATTCCAAAATTTGTTACAGATATGATTAATTAGTAATAATTATTGGACCTCGTGTGGTACAATTCAGGGAGTAATCGTACTTCAAATTGGCCTCACACTTCACGCTTATCCAATTTTGAAATTACTCACGCCATTACTCCCTGAATTGTACTCCACTCGGTCCAATTTCCATTACTAATTTGATTTTAGATCTTATCACACTACTAAGAAGTTTTTGAGAAGCTCATGAAAATGACTCTCATCTAGTACATGTATATCACAGTGTTACAACTTGCCCAAAAGGCAAGCTTTAAAAACTCCTTTTCTTTGCATCCTGTACTCTGTACAGGGTTGACACCAGTCAGTTTGGTGGGGACTGGAAGCAGTATCTTGAGAACAAAGGGGATAACATTTGTCCAAGGTACTCAAAGATAGCATTTCAAACTAAAAGCAATACCAATATATTTTGCTCAATCTGGTCTCTAGGGTTCTGGAACATATCAGTGAAACATTTCATTGTAGACTAGTGAAAAAAATACAATGCACTGAGTTACTCACCCATCCTCCTTTCTTCTCTATCCATTCAGATGTGCTCTCTTGAATAAACCTTAAACTGTGCTCAGCTAGCTGCTCAAGTTGTAGATCATCTAACTCTCCTATGATGGCTACTTCACGAGCAAAATGGCACAGTAATGCTACCTTTGACCAGCCAACAATCTGAAGGTCAAATGTTAGTTTTCTAGCAGCTATGCAAAATTGTTCATATGACAGAGATCCTGCTTGGATAATCATCAGGGGCTCATCTAACAAATTCGGCACCATTTCCATAATTTCCTGACTGATTTTGTCTAGTCTAGCAGCAACACGACCTTCAGGAGATAACACAGGTGAAGGTGTGTGGTCAAAACAAGGTCCACATGATGAAATCGCCAGGTCATTTGGTCTCTTATAGAAATCCCTATACAAAGAAAACAAAAATTGCCTGTTAATTAGACCATCAGGCCAGTAATGTACTGTGTAAATCTGAAAATAATGACCCACTGCTGATTGCCAGTTTCAGATTTGGAAACCTTTTCCCATCACTGTTTATGCCAAGTCACCAATTTCAAGGACTCACTGTTATAGGAAAACTAAATAAATTACAGTGAATCTGCCAACTGGATAAGATGGTGACAATTTATATACACTAATACAGTATAATACAAGATATATGAGGGTGTTTTTAATATTTTGAATAAAAATTCATTGAAAACAGTCTTCATCCTTTAGTACAGCAATACACTTCATTACTTGATGTAAAAGAAGCAGTTGTAAAGAGCTGGTATTAGATAGTGTTATACTTATGCCCCCAGTAACAATATACTCTTAATTAACCAGTTACTGTACATAACAATGGATATATCTTCTGAAAAGAGTTCACAGCAGAACAGAGAAATATCCTGTCCTCAGATTAATGAGCTGTATAACTGTGGTTAGATCTCTTTTATGTGAATTATCACTTTGATTTCTCACATTAATATTAGGGTTTGAAAAACAAACATGCATGAATGTGAGTGAAATCTTTAAATAACTCTCAGTAGATCATGCTTGCAAGCATTAAAAGTTTATGCAGCAGAAAGCTCAATGCATATGCTATTGAAAGGAGTAGAAATGGCTCACTGAAAATCTACTGTTGAAAAAATCACCTGTCTAAGTAGTGCTAATTTTAATTTTCTCAGGTTGTCACATGCTGTCAATTATTTTCAAACATTGTTGAAGTAAACACAGAAGCACTTATATAGGAAATCTTTAAATAACCCTCAATTAACTGTGTAAATGTTAAAAATTAGTGCATTTTTTTTGTTTTGTAAATAACTGTGTCCAGTGTTATCAAGGTGGTATATTTAGCGGTAATTGTGAACACAATTTAGCTCCCATTTTTGGCCAACAGTTGACCGGCAGTTTGACAACTCTCAGCTGACAGTTGGCTGACAGTTGGCTGACAAACGCAAACAGTCGGCCGACAGACAACCAACAATATCTTTTGGGAACTTTTCTTCACTTCTACTTATTTACCAGTTATTGCCACTTGATAAAGACGAAAACTATGGATTAGCTGAAAGATGACTGTAAGATTACATTGCTCCCTATATAGATTATGAACACTATTTATAAAATCAAGCACTATTCACCAAAACCACCCGTTCCACAAAGCCTTCAAATTATTATCACCAACAACTTTGATGTTTACATAATAACAAATCATTGTAACAATCAGAAATTAAAGCAAATAAACTTACATTCGTTTTGGCAGTCAAGTTTCAGTATAAACTAAAACAAATTAATACACCTACGTTTCGTGAGTTGTTTGATGGCAGTAGAGAACCATGACAGGACTTGAGTGAATCCGCCAAAGTAGTTCTTGTGTGCTACTGTACAAGCGTACAAAAAACTACTCGACAAAGGAGCTAAAATCCTGTTGCTGTTTTTATATTAAAAGTGGAATATTTGCGGGGGCAATTAAGCACAACTGCAGTCTTGTGACATGAGCAGTTTAAACACACTTTTCGCTTACTCCATTCGCTAGATCGAACAAACACAGCTGAGATGCAGGGGAGTAAAAGCGTAACAGTTAGCCCGGCACTTGAGTGTAAAAGACCAACAAAAACAGATCGATTACGAAGCACCAGCTGACAGAAGCCCCTATTTATCAACGTCAACACTTACATTTTATCCTAGTTGACACTAAGTATCCAAGGCATAAGAATAGGTCAACTTACATTCTCTTCTCAGCCCTGTTCCTGAGTTTCGACTGATCGAATGTTTCAATGTCTCTCTTCAAGTTTAATGATAACTTGCGTTGTAGTCTTGCCATTCGTAGAAATTTCTGCCGTTTATGCTCGTACGCACCAGCATCGCTAGAACTCTTTGATAACTTCGACATGGCTCTAGTTAAACACGGTGCCCTACTTTCTGAGCGAGTAAAGTTTCTAGCAGTCAATTTATCTGCAGGTAGTGAGCCTAAGTAATCTAAAACGACAATCCGAGTTTCTTCTCGAATCCGTTCAAGTGAAGCCCAGCGAGCCATGTTTGATTTGGTATCGTCACTTTTGCCCATCTCTGGGTCAGAATCTGTGTCCGTAGTTACTTCAGGCGTTCCTTGCGTAATGTATACGTGTTCCACAGGATCGCACTCCATGTTCTCCATGTTTAAGTATATTTGTGCGCAAACGGCGATATTTTTCAGCTGTTTTACTTACAAGGAACTGTTGTCACGTCAGGAGGTTAAATTGGACCCAGTAGGACCCAGGCCTTTCGGCCAGTCGACAACCGTCGGGTACGAGCACTTACGCACCCGAGTTGTGCGCACGTGCGTGTGTTTCTGTTTTTCAAGTGCGCGTGGGCTTCCTACGTTGGCAGCGTTTATCGTATGCGGTCCATTGCAGTTTCTGCTTCCCGTGGGCCGGGTCACCCTTTTTGGGCCCTCTTTTGTCTTTGTGGTGTGAAGTACTGTGACGTTTCTGTACTGTCATAAACAAGCCCCGCCAGTATGGAGCAGAAAAACAATTCACAAATAAGTTGGAGTAGCTCAGAGTCCAAACTGAAATACAATATGCAACCGTGGACAATTTTTTCGCCGACCTGCTGAGGTCTCATCAGCACGGTAAAGCAGAAAAAGATAGAGCGACCTGCACGAGACCAATTATCCACTAAATGCACATGGCAATGACCTCGGAAGGGTGACTCAAATCCAAATGTTTGTGGATTGGTGACTCATTGGTCAATGCGCACAAACCATCTATTTTTTAATAGTTATTTTAAGTCTCCCTTTCTTCACAGCAGGGCATTTGTAAAGCACGTGCACAGAGAATTCGGTAGCAAGAATAGCTGGTGATTGCCAAAACCATACCTCATACTAGATCAAAAAGTTCAACTCCCTTCCGGCTCTTTCCATTGTGGCAAACATTGTGCTACCTGTCCCTACATTTCTGATGGACTAACATCCTGTACCTTTTTCTACCGGGGAAACAAGCCTTCCTAATGGTCTTGACAGCCGCGAGGAAACATATTAGTTTATTTCCTGTTATTATGCGGCATTATATATTTTATCTTATCATTGATTTACGCTGTCGATCAGTATACTTTTTCGTATTTCCACAGATACGCAAACACCGTGATCACTACATTAACACCCTTCCAATGTACCGATCTCATTGTACCGGTACATCCTGATTTTATATTCTTCAACTGAAACCAAAAAGCTTGTATGTATAGGGAAGTATCCCCATCTCTACACCCACCAGTATGAGCCTGTATTGTGAAAGACATAACAAGGGGCTGTGGAAGGGAATGCTTTACAAGACAAAATAAATCTTGAGGAAATATTTGTCTTATTTTTGTCTTGATTTAAAGATTTATTCACAGTTATAATAAAACGAAATCTTTTCTTATTCAAATAAAAGGCAAAGTTACCCTCCACTTTAAATTAAATCAAAACTTATAGAAGCGGTCCACACGTCACAACCTCGTGCAACTCACGTTTCCGTTATGAAGACGGAAGGAAATTTGACGAGTGAACGTCTGGCCCGCCCACTCACTTATTACCATGTAATTCCCCCTTTAACAGATTATAAACTTATCAATGAAAAAATCTCTCGAGCTCAGCCTGGGTTTTGTTCATTTCAACTTAAAACAGCTATGTTTGCACAGTTGGCGAGGTCTCGTGACAGCGGAGTAGTGTGGGCTGCTCGTGCACGGGAGGGGTTTGAAAATGTTACACTCGTTGCAACAGATGTTGTTGCGATACTTAGTGAAACCGTGTTGAGCGAGTCACAACAATGAACTGGTTCTCGTTGAACGAGTTCTTTTCTTGGCGCACCTGTAGACTAGCTGGTGTTTCCTGTAGCTGCTTATCAAGTCTATGGGACGCACCGTTACCATAGCTGAGCGTGTTGTCCGAGTAAAATAAACTGTCTCAGATGTCTATGTGTAGCTGTCTAGAACTTTGTGAAATGGCAGTGGCTCAAAATCGTGCAACGTCTGTCGCATGAAATATGCAAGTCATGCTGCACGAACCATTATTACGCCGCCAAGTGTAACCATAGTTAGTTATGGTGTAACGGAACCTTTACATAACAAGTACATGTTAACAGAGATGACTGAGAATTTATTCAGCTGATATTAGGGTAAATGAACCGTGTGATAGGTATGAAATCTAGTTTAATAGCATAAAATCGACAGTTCATTGAAATTTTCTGAACGGAAACGGAATTTGATAACGCCTTTATTGAGAGACTTTTGAACCAATGAACGTTTTAAGAGTCAGTCAGTTGTCTTTTTTCAGCATTACCTTCCTTTGAGTCATTGCGTAAATGTTGATAACGAGTCAGTACTAAAAAGTTGTGCAAAATATTCACTTAGCTGTTGAATTAGCACCTACACTTCGTCATGTCATGAAAAGAGTTACCGAAGACATAAAACACTCTAAATAAAGGTGAGTCTTAAAATCTAATCATGTCTACTGCAACTCTTTACAAAATTATTCAGTATTAAACATAACTCTGCATGGGAACTTTCTATTTCAGTGACTTCAGCATCTTTCCTCGCCCAACTCTGACTGTTTTGATCTGTCTTAAAAAATGGAAACTCAATGCAAAATGCAAAAGTTCAGTTTGTCATTGTTACTTTACTTTGGACATTAAACGCCACAATGAAGAGCAGATAAACCAATTGTTGTTATTCGATGAAATTGACCTTTTCAAAGAACCGTATCATGATATGCAAGTCATTTTTGCTATAGTGCAAAGGCATCTGAAATCGAAGGTAAGCTCACAGTAAGAATGGTTTTCAGAGAAAACAAGAAAATAGAGAATGTGGCTTATTTTGGTACTCCCGCCTGTTAAGAGTCTGGGCACGACTCGCGTTTCCGCCATCCACCATGCACCAGTGCTCAATGCTTACATGCTTCTTTCTGCTTGCTGTGTTCATAAAGTGTAGATACGTAACAGATCAAAACAGAGAACATAAGAATCAAATTTATATAGATTTAGAAACGACGCACCGGAAGTAAGTTGCGCTGGATTTCTCAAGGTGCCCATGTAGTGACTATGTGTAGTAATAGCATGATACAGAAATGTCGCACGATAAAAATAAATCAATACAGTCAGCAGGCTTTTTTCAAAAATCTTTTAAAAAAGTTAAAATTCTCATTATATCTTTCTCCCGAATCTTTCATGTTCAAATTGCAACCTCGTTCCCAGGGCTTTTCCATTGTCTAGGGAAAAGCCCAGGACTGACGTGGTTGCCTAGTTCCTGTACGGCTTTCCCCCAGGCCTTTGCTGTCAACTGATTTCGGTGACGTGTCCCACCCCTTTTTTGCCCTGGACCACGTGACCCGAAACGATTGACCGCAGCGAAATATTGAGGCCTAGGAACTAAGCAAGAAACGAGGCTCCAACAAATACATGTATATATCAAATTTATCTTACTTTCTTTCTTATCATATATGAAGTTTAAAAGAGAAATTATAGATATGTGAATGTTTTGAATAAACAAGCAAGTTTATCATCGTCCACAGCTTCTGCTATCTATTCCACAGCGGTCCGGCACCGACTTCGGTTGCGTGCGCGTGGCGATAGAAATAAACGGCTTGTACATAGGACCGCAACCCTCCTCTCCACAATGACGTGTAAAATTGCACGTGATTTATAGATCGATATTATTCTGACGCAAAGCGATTGTATAAGTCATTGTTTTTCGTGCACGCTGAATACCTGTGTCTTTATATTTCCTTATTTTCATGGTATTCGGCATAATTCCGAGAACAAATACCGTACGCACCAAAACGAGGGCAAATGTAACGTTTGTAAAGAGCAATCCGTGACTTGCTGAGACGTCGAAATCTTATCTTCTTGGTATATTTTTTATATTGTATTCACCTACTGGAAGGCTCAGACAACTCGAAAACTTCGGTGTAGTAACGTGGGGGTTCGAGGTTGGGGGTGAGTTGTCTCGACTTTTCAACGTCATTTCCGGGTGGGAATATGGGCTGGGGTAGCCTGGGTCGGTAACATATAAAAACGTGACGAGACCACCGCGAAACTACTGAAATGACGAAATAAACTAGGGGAAGTACTGTTGTCGACGTATTTTTCGTGGAAATCTCTGTCACAGCGGTAGAGAGTGAACTTCCTGTCTACCAGATACATATATAGAACTGCTTCGAACTGCTGAACCTAAACTTGCCTAAGCACAGGCACCAATACTTGTGTTCGTGATGGCTGAAGGTATGCCTTATTTCAAACCTCAAAAGACTCCAGTTGAAAGCTCTGAAGAAAGCTTGAAGGATATCGAGTCTCAAGCATGCCTACTTTTCGAGGAGTTTCTTAGACTTCCACAGACAGCAAATTACAGACTGGGATCTAACCGTGCAATGACTGAGGTTTCAGACTCTCCTGTCATCTCCGATGAAAAAATGTTTAAACGAGGTAAGATGCTTTCAAAGTTTGAAATCTTGGCTTAACTTCAGAATACAGGGCCACTTTTAATCATCCACCAAACGTTTGGTTCGTTTGCTCCTTTGTCATCCACCTCCGAGCCAAACGAGCCACTAAATGTATATACTTAGGACTTACACGCATATATAGATTATTCGTTCTTTCATCCACTTCCGAATCTTAATTAATACTATTGGTTAAGCTATTTAAGAATTGTGTTTATTACTGTTATGACCCTGCTAGTGCTATAAATACAAATCTGTTCAATTTTCAATCAGAAGATTCAGGTTTCTTCTGCATTTTGCATTATGGATTTGCAACTGAATTATAACTGAAGTTTATTAAGGTCCCACACTGTCAGGAGGGACCTGTCCCTGTAACAAGCGGTGGGGACAAGTCCCATCATGAGAACTAGCCATTTTTGAAAAAAGGCTAGTCAACAAGAGCAAACTGGTCTGACTTTAAAGGATAAGTCACAGGGGGTGTCCCTAAAACTCTTTGTGTGAACTAACTGCATGGGACAAGTCCCTGTAACCAAATTAAGGTAAACCAATCACAGATATGCATGATAAGCTTCCATAATTTCCTGTGAATGCAGCTTGGAAAGACAATGTTGATGTTGAAGAAGCAGCCTGGAATGTTAATACCCCAAGAATTGTGAAAGAATTTTCTGAAATAAGAATTGACAACTCTGTTATCCTGCAACTAGTCCCCTCATGTAAGCTTTTTAAGGGACTTGTCGCAGAAGCTAGTCCAGGGGACTTGTCCCCTTGTGTCTACCAGTACTTGTCAAGAGTAGTAGACAATACTGAAATGAGTGCTTTCTTAAAACTGCAGCATCAGATAAACTCTGTATCTGCAGCATTTTAGGCGATTGGGATTATTTCTTTTCACAGGATGCTGGCTCATCAAAGGGTTATCCCCCAGCATTCGATTTATTGGTAACACTAGGGCTTGAACCCGGACCACTTAGTCCAGACTTCAATACACCAACCATTAGACCGCCACTGTGTCTCACTCAAAACTTTAGTATACAGAGGGATCAACATTTGAGATGCCTTACACTGAAATTTTTTAACTGCATATTAGGGTATTCAAAAGAGGTTACTGGGTACTAAATGTAGATAGGACATATATGTTGTTATACACGGCATCTACGCGACATTATGGTTATTTAGAAAATAACCCAACAAAAATATGCTTGCTGATTCGTTAAAAATCATGTTTCTATAACTTGATAAAAATACAGAACTAACACAAGCCATTGATGTAATGATGGTGCAAGCAAAGAAAATTTACATTTTGATGATCAAAGTAAACAGGTTGTGATTTCTTTTTGTCACAGTATTTTCTAAAAGAAGTAGAAAAGATGTTCTCCGTGTTTCTATCAAGTTATAGAATGAAAGACTCGTTAAAGTTTGGGAGAACTTGAAAAAGTTGTGGAAACACCCAACTGTTGGCTCATGTGCCCACTGCATTTCTCCTTTTCTCCAACTTCCTCTCATGTTTCAATAACTCAATAAAAACATAGAACATGTTTTCTGTTTCCCAAGCAAACATATGATTAAGAGTCATAGATTGTTATTATCTGAATGTGACAAATTGCTGCCTGGGTAATTCATTATCAGGGTTTTCTGTTTAACCATAGAGGTCACTAGTAAGAGCTAGCACCAAGCAGTAAGTCTATAACACTCAGTAAGGAGGTGCAATCAGCCATGGGCCTCTTTGTTGTTGCTGTAGAATGAAATACAATTATGGTTGATCAAAAATGTCTTCAAAGCACTGTATATAAATAATATGGAAGGCAGCCCACGGGTGGTTTCTTATCTATGTCATCACCTTTTTTCACTCAGGTGCTATTGAGAGTGATGAAGCAGAACAAGATGATGTAGTACCTGACTGTGAAGTTCGTGCAAAAAGTTTCCATATGGTACCATCACCTCCAGCCCCAGGAGCAGTGCGGCAACCCCAAGATCCACAAATGGCAAAACTCGCTCAGCAGATGCAAAAAGCGGGAGATGCTCTTTATGAGCGATATGGAGACCGAGTAGATGTAAGGTTATTTTGAAAAACAGAAATTCTGATTTTGATGCGACTTTATTATATGGCTGTGTCTAGCAAGGACTGGAAACTACCAAATTCATGAATATGATTGGCTTAAATTGATACTGACCAGGGTCTAGATTTACCATATAGACCAGTTTCCGCTAGAATGCTCTATCTTTTGCACTTCACTGTGAGGAAGTTGCTAACAAAACATACAAAATCATTTGGGTTTTTTTCTGCTAAGAATACCAAATGGAAGAGAGAAAAGGTGAATAAAACAAGCAAACCTGCAATGGTAAATCATAGTTCAAATCAGGCAATCAAAACACCAGCTGATTATGAAATTGAAGAGTTCTTGCAAGCCCAGAATCGAAAGGTACTCAGTACAAGACTAAGAGCAACATAAACAACTGCAAGAAATTCTATTACCAATACAGAAGCTGTAGTTACTGTAATGGCTTGTTTGTTTGTTTGTTTCTGTCTTCCTTTCTGTTGTGTGGTGTTATACACGTTTTCATTTAGGCTAAATACCAATTCCGATGCAGGGAAAAATTTATATAACAATCAAAAGATATTAATATGTAATTACACTTCTAATCTTAGAATTTGAAATTGACATCCTCATGTGTGTTTTTTTTACAGGGGGTTCAGTCACACCTGGTTCAATACGTTCTTGATAATGCTGCTACCCTGACGTATGAGAGGTTAAGTAGAGAAGTTGATAACATGGTTGGGCAGGACAGAAACTGGTCAAACTTTGTAATGGCAATGAATGTTGGTAAAAGAGTGTGCTTGGAGACATCAAAAGTTTGTAGTGCGGTGACAAGCTACTTTCAGCGTTACGTTAGTCACTCATACAGCCAAGCCATGCAACAGGCTGGAGGAGTTGTAAGTTAGAACATCTTTTTGCGTTCAACTGGTTGCTCTCTTAGTGTCTTATTGTACAAATATATAGGCCTAACTGGATATTCTTGTTGATAGTAATTGTTGAAATATAAAAAGATTAAGCCCAAAAAACTTGTGCCCTGCAGGGTGTCCGTGTGTGGATCGTGAGTGTTCTGATCATCCATTCAAGGGGTAGGCTCGATTACCAGCCACTGTTCGGGAAAGGAGCCGGCGCTTCTCCCCCAAACTCACGGCTGGACTCGTGGACTTGGCATTGTTAATTTCAACCAATAAGAAATCTGCCTGCCTGAATCGAGCAGGCTGCATAAATTAGCTTTCTCGCGGTAGCAAAGAAGTTGTGTGATATGAAGTACGATCGCATTAGTGGGACATTTAACCAAATACCGTCAACTGATGAAATCTTGCCTGATGTATAGTGGCATATACAACACGCAAAATAGTCAACAGACTTACGCGTTAGAATCTATATTTGAATCATTTGGTGCCAGAATGTCAGATAACGAACAAAGTCAACAAAGAGAGGGATAAATACAAACATCGATGTCAAGAAACAAAACATTCGGTCAAATTGATGTGCATGGTAGTCTTCTTGAAGGGAAGCGACACCAGTTTCTGGCGAAGCCAGACAAAATTAAATTTTTAAATGAGCCAAAGCAAACCGAACTAGCAAAACATAAACATTGTGTCAACACCATGCACACCATACAACATATGTGTGACCTTCGACATGACAGTTGTTACACCATAATCAAACAGCCCTGCTCTACTCTTTTTTTTTTTCTAAAAAAATATCTTCTATAGAACACAGCATGTAATGCCCTTCCGCAATAATAATGTGAAACAAAATAGGTTGGAGGGCCAAAATTAAAAGAGGAAGTGGGGAAAACGCCACAAATTTTACAAGCCGTAGAGGTCATGTGGGCCTGCCTATGATTTTCATCTGCAGATGACATTTCCGGCCACCTGAAGCACCGCAAGAATTAAATTATGAATTTACATCACAGACATGCTGTGCCGCTCACGCGTCCAGCCGTCTCTTCTCGGGGAGGAAAGTAGACCGGACTCGAGAAAGCGGCAGAAAGCGAGCCTATTCAAGGGCCCATTAATTGCTCAGGATTGTTTTCCTGTTATTGATTGACAGGCACTGTTTATATAGGTTATCTATTGTAAGAAGACATGTTTTGCAACAATTTTTTTACCACCTTTTGCTTTTTGCTCAGGCTCCATTTGTGAAATCAAAAGGTCACTAGGAAATGCCAAGCAGCAGTCAAGGTTGTACAGTGTGTGTAAGGTCAAAGAAAAGCTACTCAAAGTGCTCAGCCTAGCTGGATTTTACATGTTTGAAATGGAATTCCACAAACAAGATCAAGTGAATTTGCCATCTGTCACTTCTGTGTTATTGACTATAAATGATAATTATTCAAATGCTCAAAGTTGGTTTTATCAATATTAATGTTACAAGTATCATAAAAAGAGAATTAATTTTAAGTTAATCTCCATGAGATCAACAATTTTTTTTCCTTTAAAGTCAGAACCAGGCAAGTCTTAAAGAAGCAACTGAAACCTTGGTTTTTGACAAGCTGTTGCAGCCATAGCAGTGTGTTTGCTATTTCTGTCCAGTAATACAGCACTTGTTTTAGTGAATTTGCTAATTTGATTGTTCAAGTGTATTTCCCTTGTTCCAGTAGCACCGTGACTTTTGACATAGGGAACTTGGAATTGAATTCTAAACATAGGTGCAAATGTTGTGTGTTTTCTTATCCTTAAATTATTGTCATATTGTTACTTTGTGTACCTTGTCTTTACAAATAAACATCTTTTATAAAATTGAGAGAATATCATTTGTAGAGAAAATATTTTTTTACTCAGTTGACACTAAGCCTATACTCAGCTGATACCCCACCAACATTTGACTGATTAGGTATCAAGCATTTGTTGACCATTGCCTAGCATGTTTCTGTTTCCTATAGTGCGAAATACCTTTTTTCAGGGGTAAGCAATGATCAGTTGCTATAAATTAGAGAGAATTTTGTCAAAAAAATTTGTACTCCTTATCAACAGCAAAAAGCAATGACCCACGTAAACAACAAACAATTACCAAAGTAAATTCCAGTAAGTACTACATGAATACCATGAGAGTGTACTAGATAATTCTGAATAGCTTTGTTGGAGTGGAAATAACCGAATTTTTGACAGTGGCTGTTTGGTTACTGTGAACTAGGTGTTTTTATTTTCTTTGAAGAAATTCCAATGTATCCAAATTGGCCAAAAATTCAGAAAGCTGTGGACTAGCTGGGACATCTGTAGGCACGGATTGCGTGCAAAGAGCAACAACTACACAGCCCTTTGCACTCAGTGCATTCCTATGATATGAAGCCTGTTTATTTGTTTAGATTCATAATAATAATAATCACAAGAATGATAATAATGATGATAATAATGATGATGATAATAACAACAACAACAACAACAATAACATTATTTTACGAGGGTAACATTGATTATTGATGACTCAGTAGTTAACATAATGGCCCTTCCTATGCTAATCTAAAACCAGAGTGTAAACCTAAAATAATAACACGACTACAGGTCATATCCATATCCCTAAATTACCAGAAACCCTAAATAACCAGAAATTGTAACAAAATGAGGTAAACGTGAGGAAAAGAAAAAAGGAAAGTTGTAAAGCTGATCCGTAATT